TTATTGCTAGGAATCACACAAGTTTGCTTGGAAAACATGAAAAAGGAGTTGGGAATCTGTATAAGAGGAGGAAAGATTCACAGCCTGTTTATGATCTGTAGAGGCCTTGAGACTACTGTGAAGCTGAGAACTAACCTGTTATCTGGTTGTAGGGAGTTTGAAGGCAGCTCTGCAGCTGCGAAAACAGGGGCCTTATCTGGTGGTGAGGAGCAACTGAGGAATTTGGAGGCGGCCGTGCCAGAAGGCATGGGGCCAACCAAAACACARCYGACCTCTAAGCCMGTTTGGAGGTCAAACCTGAGRCGAGGGAGAGGAAGATGATGAAGGCGGGACCCTCATAACGAGACCAGAGACCCCCACTGGTGGGCGCGCAKGCGCACACCGGGCAAAATTGGATAACGAAAAAGGTGGAGCTTTGCCCGCCCTCTGGTAYGCCTCYTGACACGTGGTGGCCCTACGTGGCGGGATGCGCCAGATATAAAAAATAATCGTGGATCGGGGGGGAGAGAGACTTCCAACCGAGACCTACGTTGTCTCCGCGGGGACGCCCGCAAGCTTGGAGCCTGTCAGCCACCTCTGGTCCACGGCGGGGGAATGATCGGTCTCGCTGTCCTGCTGGCAAGTATCCTCTCGTAAGTAATTGCTACGTAGGTGCCTCGTTCCACAGGTAGTTGCTAAGTAGTCGTCTTGCTTTAGTGTGATGTTAGTGTGAATTGTCCTAAATGAACTAAGGGGTGGATTTTGCTCTCAGTGCGTGTGCTTTCAATTGCTGAGCCCCAAACCCATCCAGAACAGAATCTCAGTAATGGTAGTGGAAGAAGTTAGCCAAGGGACTTTTTCTTGTGAAAGCAAGTGCAGAGAGTGCAAGGAAAGACAGGATTCACCACTTTGCAGAAGGGTCTGTGCAAGAAAAACACATCTAAGCCGCCAGAGACAAATCCCCGCCCCACCGACATCAGATGGCCCCATCAAAACTCTTACTGATCTCTACGTTGCCTGAACTTCCCTCTCTGGAGCAAGTGACTTTCACTTTCCCTCTACACTGTCATCTAGTAATGAAGTTTGGAAAGAATATTTCCGCACCTGATAAACTTTTGATTACCTTACATATCCTTTGATCCAGCAAAAGTGATCCAAAGATGACAGTCTGCTTTTTTTTTTGCATGAAGTCAGACTGTAAGTCCATGTAATGGAAGAAAAGTCCTATATCTTATTGAAAGTCTTTTGTAATGTATGAAGTTTAGCTAGGTTATGATTTATTCAAAAAAAAAAAAAAATCAAAATTTGCCTCAGGCAGTACCTGCGAAACAAACAGGTCTTGCATTTTCTGTCACTATTCAAACAAAATATCAAGGTCATCAAAGGTGATGTGAAGATCAGAGCACTCAAATATATGAACACAAACAAATCACTTGCATGAACAGCAAATATGTTAAACTAAACAAGTTTAATTCCCTTAGGCCAGGGAATTAAAGCAATGTAATAAAATAACTTTATCCTCACCTGCAGGGGAGCTATAGCATACAACAAGTTACACAACAGATATCATAATCTTTATGACCATTAATGGTTTATCATCTCTTAAATAAACCATAACACATTCTTTTTCCTGCATTGTGAAGTGTGCTTTCATATATGTTTCTTAAGAGTCTCTAGGCCTGAAAGTTTAGTGCTGCATTAGGCTACTTTTACACCCTGCCAGTGCAGGGCACACAAGATTTTAATGCATTTGTTCAACTGCATCCTACAGGTGTTTTTGATTAAACTCTTTAAGCTAGACTGATCTTACTACATAAAGTCTAAGGTAGATGGGATTTATAGGGAACTTTATGTCTTCTGCACACTACTCATGCAGAATCTTGATGGTCAGCAAAATGTTTGGTGAGAAACCATTGCTTTTTGATGGCTATGCTAACATCTTCTCATATTGTGTGACACACACACATTATTCTAAGAGCTTTGTCAACAAGGTTTCAGCCTGGAGAAGAGGAGGCTGAGGGGGGACCTGATCAGCGTGTATAAATACCTCAAGGGAGGCAGTGAGGAGGAGGGGGGCGGCCTCTTTTCAGTGGTGGGCAGGGATAGGACTAGAGGAAATGGCTTCAAACTGAAGCATCGGAAGTTCCACAGGAACTTAAGGAAGCATTTCTTCACTGTGAGGGTGACAAAGCACTGGAACAGGCTGCCCAGAGAGGTTGTGGAGTCTCCTTCTTTGGAGATCTTTAAAACCCGCTTGGATGCAGCCCTGTGCCACGTGCTCTAGGTGACCCTGCGTGAGCAGGGGGGTTGGACTAGATGACCTCTGAGGTCCCTTCCAACCTTCGGCATTCTATGATTCTATGATTCTATGAAGATGGGAGAGAAGCCAGAAAGGGGGGTGTTTTCAGATTAGTGGTAGTCTGGTGGCTTAAATACCTTGCACTAGATATCATTTACAGAAGATAATAAGCATCATTATTTTATTCTCCTGAAAACATCTACACAACAACACAAAACAAAGTTTGAGAAGCTACTCCATTATTTGCAACCAATGGAGCAGTAGGAAAAGCACTTGATTTTGCCAGTAAAGTTCACAGTTTTCATATGTATTTCTTAAATTGCTCAGAGGGAGCTGTATCCAGAGCAAAAAACAAAATCAGATTCTTTAATGATCAGAGGCAGCGGAGAGGTGAAACACAACTCACACTGTAGATGAGGAACAAGCCTGCAGTCAGCAGCACTGTTGTTACTATCCCACTTAACAGAGCCTCTGGACAAGCTTAGTTGAGCAGAGAAGTCTGAGAAAATAGGATCTTGCTAACACTGATACTATGACCTGCTTCAGGTAACATTAAAATTAATAGGAGTTTTGCTTTTTAACTCAGTGGAAGCTGGATTGAAGTCCCTAATCTTGGGCTCTGACTTCACTTCAAAAAGGAATCTGCGTGGTTTCATCAGTCCCTTGTAGAGTTTGTATTACATCCTCTTGTCCACTACATTTTTTTCTTGCATATTTTTTTTTTAAATCTTTTGTCATATTTTGTCAACTCTAGATGACCTGGAACAACACATGACACCATATGGGAGAAGAACATGGTCCTACAGTTTTTCAACATCAGCTTTTCGAAAGCTGTAGAGCTCTGAACTGCCAGGACATCATAGGTTACTGCTCCATAATTCTAGGGCCAAATTAGCATATGAAGTTTGTGGCCAGGCTTAAAAGATTTTTCTTTTAGCACATTCTGAAACACAAATTTGGAACATGTGAAGTCACAAGGTTAGGCTAGAAAGTAGTATTCCATGGCATAAAATACACCCAAATGCAGAAATGTAGGCAAATGCAAGCTGTGAGCAAAACCTGTAGGCCTGTGTGGGTCATAGTTGAGCCTTGCAGAGGGGACATCCATATAAACAAGTCTCAGACCTGCAGCTTCCTTCACAACCTACCCTCTGAGGATTTGTTCGCAGAGAGACAGGCCTGCTGTGAGTCCTGAAAGCGTTTGTTAGGAAATCCACACCATGGAAAGACACACTCTCAAAGGGATGGCCTTCCTTGTGCCCAAAGTTTTCAATGCAGATTCAAACCTGTACAGTGCATTTGGAAGTATGCACCCCCAGGACCTTCTGAGGGGTTGCCATTTTATTGGTTTATTTTCCTACAAAAAAGCATAAGGGAGCCAAACACTTTCACACTCTACACTGAAGAGCCATAAAAGTGACCTGGTATCCTGACTTGCCGTCACTGTAAGAACACAGCTTTCAGGAAGACTGAGCTCAGCATGCCCTGAAAATCTGCCCTCTTTTAAGTCATCTCCAGATAACCATCCACAAAATGAGGCTCTTGCCACTAATTGTAGCTGAAGATTTTGAGCTATAAATTATAATTAAAACACTTTATATACCTCTTTTTTTTTTAAATTATAATTACAAAAGAAATCCACCAAGCTTCTGTGCATAAGCATCATTCCAAGAAGTAGTCAAATCATATTTCATAACAAGAACAAGGACAACCCAGCATTAGAAGACAATCCTAAATCATGGGAAACCAGAGTCTGGCTTTGATAGACCTCACAAGTAAGAATTTAGAATTCTTATTAAATACTGCCAATTCCTACTAACCAGGCTACGTCCGCAAGGTCAGTCCTGCACATTTAAATGTTAGTAATTTCATCAGGATCTTCAGTATGGAACATTAGGGCACCTGATGGTAAATTGAATAAATGCAGTCACAGCCTAGTAGCTACATCTATTGGGTCGATACTTCATAGGGTTGTTCGTTTTGAGTATTGCCTGACAACTGTCAGCAGACCTAGCAATTCGCTGATTTTCAGAGTTCATCAAGACTTAAAACTTCTTTCCATGATGGCACAGCCAACCAAACTGCCTTTGTGTGTGTGTGTGTGTGTGTGTGTGTGTGTGTGTGTGTGTGTGTGTGTAAAAGAGCCTGCAATAGACAGGCCTGTGACAAACAGCAGTGACTGCCCCTATCCCAACAGGGCATGCTATGTATGTGCCTGTATGTAACTGCTGCATCAGTCTGTATAAAAGCACCCACCTTTACTAGCAGGCTGGCTAAATGTGTACATTGTACTCACCTACATTAGGCTAAATGCTCACGATGAACCCTGGCCCAGCTCTGAAGCTGCGCAAGAGCCCCCGATAAGGTACATGAGGACACACAGGCTTGCTGACACACGGCTCCCCACAGGGACGGGGGAATCCTCCCCCATTCCCTCCACACCGCTCCACAGAGCTCCCTGCAGCAGCACTGCCCTGGGCAGGGGCCACGGGCCTCGGCGTGGCGGCCGTTAGGGCGTGGCGGCCGTTAGGGCGTGGCGGCCGTTAGGGCGTGGCGGCCGTTAGGGCNGGCGTGGCGGCCGTTAGGGCGTGGCGGCCGTTAGGGCGTGGCGGCCGTTAGGGCGTGGCGGCCGTTAGGGCTCGGCTCCCCACCCCGCGGCCGCTGGGGAGCGTTGTCTCCCATCCCATGCCATCCCATCCCATCGGCGGCGCGCTGCCCTTACCGGCGAAGTTCTTGGTGAAGACGAGCGTGACGAGCAGGATGGGGATGAGGACGGTGCCGATGGTGACCACGCGGTCGAAGGGCAGCTCGAGCTTCAGCTGGAGGAGCAGCGCCGCCAGCGCGCCCGCCTTGTCATCCTGCTGCCCGGGCAGGATGAGCTCCTTCAGCTTCTCGCCCGCCAGCAGCGCCGTGGCCATGTCGGGGTGGTTATCGATGATGTGTTGCATAAGCGGCGGCGCGCGGCTCGGGCCGCCCCGGGGCTGCGCGGCTTGCTGCGGGCACGGGCCGCCCGGCCTGCGGGGACAACGGCAACGGTAACGGCGGGGCCGCGCTGCGGCAGCGGCACCATCTTTGGGTGCGCGGCGGGGAAGGTGCTCCTGCGGCGACCGCAGCCCCCGCGGGCGGCAGCGGCCTCTGCGGGGGCTCCCCCCGACCCGCCGGCCCCGCGAAGAGGCCCCGGTAGCGCTGCGGGGCGCCGGGGAACCGCGCGGGCCAGCGCGGGGCGGGCAGCGCCGCGGTAAAACGCAGCCTCCGAAGAGCTCCGCGAAGCAATGCCAGGAGGGGAGGACGCTCTGAGGAGTTAACCCGTGGCAGCTGTGCCGTTAAAGGCAGCCGCGGCTTTGCGATTCATGCTCTATGACAGGAGCGGAGCAGCCATGCAATGGAGAGCGGCTGGGGCTGCCACCGCCACACGGCTGCAGACAAGGAGGAGGGCATTTACCTGGCGCCTCGGGCTTCCTCGGCTCCTAGGGACGGTGAGCGGAGCGGTGGCTTGTGAACAACAGCGGAAGCCGCAGGAGCAGGGGAGGAGGAAAAAAAGGCAACTTAGGCGGGAGGTCTGGCAGGTCCCTGCAGCCGCCCAGGTAACAGAGCGGCTCCGTGCTCGGGGCGGGCGCTCGTCGCCGCAGCGCTTCCAGCGGCGGCGGCGGGAGGAGCCGCCCGCGCG